AAGAAATAGGCTGAAGCCCCAAGGCTTATTCTTGCCTATCCTGTACAATCATAAGAATAGTTCACAATAAAACATTGGAACTAACACATAATTACAAAACACATAATAGTTAAACTGAAAAATCAAACTCAGTCAAATTTCATTGTAACCTTTTATAATTTTAGATTTTAAAGTCTTCTTGAACACTAATAGAGAGTTACCCATCTTTATTTTATTGTTTAGTCCATTCCATAATTTTGCACCCAAAACTGACACACATCTGTACTTGAGCTTAATTCTGGCTTTGTAAATTTCAAACATCACTAACCCCCTTAAGTTATTAATCCCCTATCTAAGCTTAAACATGTTTTGAATGCAAACAAGGATTGTCTTATTTAATCAATCAATGAAATATATCAATCAACTTTATTATAAAACACAATTTACATTGCAATCGAAATTTCAGTTTCAGTGTAAACCGTTCAACACAATACATTAGGATGGGGGGGCTCAGAGGGGGAACAGTTTTACTGGGCCATGTGTGCCGCAGAACGCTGCCTACGGCACATTCTTATAGCTTTCCAGGTTCCTACCGGTTACCTAGCTTCCCAGGTCCCAGGTGGTTACTTATATGACTACCTTTATCTCTGTAAAAAAGATATGAGCCACATTGGGGAAGAGAGGGGGAGAAAAATCCTTCATAGGATATAGTTTGAGATATCAAAAATACCTCAGCATAAGAAAAGCGAATGTAACACGAGACAGACATTTCAGTAGAGGGTCACATCGGAGGCTGGAGCCACATGAAGTCAATCTGACATTTGAGACATTAGTTGTTTGTGGATGATGAATGCATTTGTCTGTGAGCGCTGTCCTCAGGCTATTGTCCTTGGTAAGATGGAAGTTTATCAACAATTCTGGGCCCATTCACCATAAATTATCCATCCATCATCCAGTCAAATTAATTAAAAGTTTTCTATCTAAGGAAAACCAGTTGATTGCATCGACTCGTAGACTCGAAGGCAGTCCCTCACACCAAGCATGCTTGTAGCGACAGTGGAGAGGAAATACTCCCTTTTAACAGGAAGAAACCTCCAGCAGAACCAGGCTCAGTGTGAGCGGCCATCTGCCAAGGCCGATTGAGGTTCAAATTGTTATTGTATAACACAGTGTGTTATCGTAGTGGTCACGGTATATATTCAGTTTATCACCCAGGCCTAGAGGAAAGTCTGGGACTCTCTGCAGCCCTAAAGTCCTGGTTCTGGATGAGGTGGCAGACGATGAGTAGGAGAATATTTATTATTTATTAAATAATAGCATTATGGTCTCTTTAAATAAGTCGTAGTAGATACTTTTCTGTGTCGAATAACTTGTTTAGAGCAGATCATTGCTGTGGGCTGAGATCAGTTCCAGTATAAAAAGGCAGCAGATGTGTGTGTGTGTGTGTGTGTTTGTCTGTAGGGAGCAGATTTTCTTGTTTAAAGGGCCCTTTGTCAGCAGCCTCCAAGACGACATCCTTACATTTTGTCCAAGAACTCTCAATGGCCAAGAACTCTCAATGGCCTTTTTTTCAAAGTACTCCTTTGAAAAACCATGAAAGAGAGCAGCAACAATAAGAGATTCCAGCTACCAGAGAGTGTGTGCTGAATCACAGAAGAGCTTTAAACAACGACACAGAAGCACCAGAAGAAAAAAAAAGGTGAAGTGGATATGCAACCTGGCTATACTGCTGTTTCAGAAACATCACAGCAGGAGCAAACTGGACAACCTTACATTGATCCAAGAACAGACATTTCCAAATACTGAACAGTGTATGAAAACCTTATGATTTTGGATCAGATCTGGTCTTTTAGATAAGCGACTTTAATTCTACACTTGGACTTTCCTCTAAAAACCCAAATTATTCCCCTTAACAACCATTCTTACAGTTTAAATTACAATTCTCCCCAATGATTTGGAAATATATGTAACCTTCTGGATTTGCAAACAGCTATTTTAGAATAATCTTAAAAAGAAATATATAATTCTGACATATAGTTGTCCTAACGGGAGGAGATGATTGGTCAGATGTGATGACAGCATGTCAAGGTCTGGTTTGAACCTCTGAGTGACATCAGTTTGGCACAAAGCTCAGCTTTAATCATCATCTGCAGAAAGGCATGAAACACGTGGGCTGTTCAGGAAATAATCACATAGGCACATGTGTATATCTCTGCTTCCCATTCACTACTTAACCCCCCCACACACGCGCACACACACACAGACAGTAACTGGCACATGTGCACAAATCACTTCAGGGAGCTGACATGGTCACAATTTATTTCTTTCCGTCTGTTGCTTGGAAGCTGATCTTTGCTGAAGGATTAACTGATATTACAGAATTTCATCTCACCCACCCGGACTTAATACCAGTAGTATTTACCAACCACTCACTGCCTGTGTGTGTGTTGTAGCATCAGCGTGGTCGGTCATATGTGTGTGTGTTTAAATGGGAGAAAAGACGTAACTCTCCTGAGTGTGAACTGAAGCACTTCAGGCCAGCAGTGGACATCTGCTAGAAAAAGCCTTTGTTGGCCTTCGTGTCTCTAATGAACAGAGCAACATTACGGCATGTCAGCAAAGCTCTCTCTCTCTCTTCCACACTATAAAGTCATCTTTACACATGTCTTTTGTTAGCTCAAGGCTTTAGAGGAACTGTGCTGACCTACTGATGTGCTGCAGCTCTTTCCAACTAAGGGAGGGGGGGTTGATAAACCACAGGGATCAGGATCAAGCCATTGCAGAGGAGAGGGAGGAAGATGAAGCTCCTTTTTGGTTACGGATAGGGTTAAGTTGGGTTATTTTAAAACTCTGGATGCAAAGAAAACCAATTTTAAACAGTGTCAGCTAAAGTAATCCCTGATTAAAAATGTCCAACACTACCCCCACAGTGACTTTTAATCTCAGAGAGGCATGTGAGATTGCCAGGGCAGGTCTGAGTCTGTAGTGCAGAATATCATGCCCAAAAGTCCAACATCTTCACCAGAAAAGGTTTTTTACACAACATTGTTTTTCTCATTGAGAATATTTGTATTCAGGCCTTTCGACTCATGTTGATGACGACCTGAATAATCCACACAGACAAAGGAGGATATTAAATCAGTTTGGCAATGTGCTGGTAAAGTTTCTCAGTCATCTATGTGATAGTCATTCCAAAAAAACTTAAAAATCAATCCACTGGAATTGTTTTCCAAGTTTTGAAGACATTTTGCTTCCCATCCAGGAAGCTTTTTCAGTTTAAAATGGACAAGCAGGTCTACACCTTTGGAATGCAGGTCGTTTGCCTTCTTTTGTCAGCCTGTAATGCCTGAAGAAGCCAAACGACCCACCTTCCAGAAGGGTGGACCTGTTCTTCTGTTTCAATTAGCATGTTTTCTTAACAAAAACGAGCTTTTGTGGGCTACTGTATAAACTCAAGGCTATTTATGACATTTTGAATTGAAAAAGCTTCGTGGATGGGATACAAAATATCTTCAAACTTGGAAACAAAGTCCAGTGGATTGTTTTTTAACTTTTTTGGGAAGTTCAGAAATGTTACTGTTGTCCACATTTGGAAAAATAAAAAACACATGGAAAAAATATAGAAAACCAAGAATACAGCAGAACTTTGTCAGTTATTACAATAATTTCTTGATGTATGGAAATGTTTTAAAATATGACAAGGCTGAAACTGGATCATACTAGCTTTATATTTGAAAAGGTAAATAAAGCATTAAGGTCCCACTTCAAAGCCAAACTACTATGTGAGTTTAACTGTTTAAGATTATATACAGGGCTCTTATTTTAGAAAATTCAACATCAAAATGTGCACTTTGCTTGTTATTTCACTTAACGGTCAGTCATTAAGCCCACTTCTCTAAATCCATGTCAGTCAGGATTTAATTCAATTAAATAAAGTTTATTTCTAAAGCACCAACTGACATCATGTCATCACAGGTCACTTTATAGATCCAGATCAATCAGATCATCTAGTCAGGTTACAGGTTCAAAGTTTCTATTTAAGGAAAACCAGCTGATCTAGTCACTGATATCACAGAATTATCTCCTTGACGAGCAGCTGAGGCAGCAGATGTTGATTCTTTTCTATTAGAAAAGATAACGGTAAATAAGGTTCCACAGGTTGCTTCGTCCGGAAAAGAAACTTTTAAACAGATGAGCTTCGAGCCAGTTGTTAAGTTAAAAAGTGTAAGAGATTGAACTTACAAATTCTACACAAAGGGAGAATAGAGATACTATAGAATGAAGCAGAACGATGAAAAGGGGTCCCTATGTCCTCCAGCAGCCTAAGCCTATAACTATAGAGATAGCTCAGGATAACCTGAGCCACTCTAACTATAAGCTTTATCAAAAAGGAAAGTTTTAAGCCTAGCCTTAAAAGTAGACAGGGTGTCTGCCTCACGGACTAAAACTGGTAGTTGGTTCCACAGGAGAGGAGCCTGATAACTAAAAGATCTGCCTCCCATTCTACTTTTAGAAATTCTAGGAACCACTAGTAAACCTGCAGATTGAGAGTGAAGTGCTTTGTTAAGAAACATAAAGAACAATCAGATCTCTGATATCACACAGAGTTTGGTTATTCAATCTACTTTGGTTGCAGATCCCCACAGTGTAGACAGATTTGGCTGGGATTAGTTCACTCTGATCGTTGGGTTTTGCTTTGTGGTTTTAAAGACGTAAGGAGGTTTGATAGATCCTGGATGAGGTCCCTGAGCTGGAATCCAAACTTAACTCTTCACTTCTAACATGATTATATGTCATTAGGTGTTTTTGGTACCATGAAGGTAAACATATTGCCAGTATAAATTATTGTATCTCTCCATGCTACCCTACCCAGCTTGACATGAACAAAAAACTGCATTTTCTTCCTCAAAATAAGAAAAAAAAAAATCACTCTATATTTACACTACTGTTTGTCGTAATTATTTTACCATCACCGACTGTAATATGTGTTGTTTTTTTTCCTCCATCTACGTCTTTTCCAGGTACGAGTTGTTATTGTTGATGAGAATGACTGCGTTCCAGAATTCCTGCAGTCAATCTACAGCACGGATGGTGTACCAGAGACGGTCACAACAGCCACCTCCTTGTTGCAAGGTCAGACATCCAAACATTTCATGCAGGTTTTTTTCTTTTCTAAATAATAATAAAATTTTTGATTTTTTTGCTTTAAGGAAGAAGTTTATCCAACCTAAGTCTCTGACTTGGGTAAGACCTAAAGCTTAGTGTAATATTAATCTGTAAGAAGCAGTGTTTATAGAAATGTGTTCATATTTGTTTGAAAATAAAAGAAATTCAGTAAAGAAAATCTCTGAATATCAGACATTTTAAGACCAACCTTATTTCACACAACAATAAACAATTTTTTACAGAATTTACTGAACATTTTATTTAGTAAGTTTTATTACGTTTAATTAAACTTTGCCAGAGTTGGGGATTAAACCTTTCTTCTCAGAATATTGCTTTGAGAGCAATAATGTTAATGTGAAAGCCTAAAATGAAGACCTTCTAAAACAGGCATCTTACAGCAGAAAACAAAAATCATTTACATGCTGATTCCTTGTTTCTCTTTTAATTAACATAAATATGTTAATTCCCGTACAGAGAGCTTAGGATCTCAAATCAGAGCCCAGTTCTGGCTTCCCTGTGTTATTGGTGAAAACCTTTGAACTGGCTATTTTAGGTCACGGTCGGTCATGATTACTTAAAATGGTGGATATTTCGAGAAGTTTGCTTTATTTTATCAATCTGAAATCCAGACTAATTAAACTTTGTCTTAGAGTGTATTTTCCATTAAAGCCTTTTCTGTCATTGCTGACCTCTCAGACACACCCATGCAATATTCTTCATTGTTCCACGATGCTATTTCCACTGAGTGTGTACTTTTTACCCCGCTGCTGGCTTCTGTCGGCAGAAGGAGCCAGGAGGTAGGAGGTAGGAGCCAGCCAGACTCCTACCTTCACTGAGCGGGATTTACTTAAATGTGCCCACAAAACCTTGGAACACTATTCTTACCTACTGTATGTCTCAGGAGTCTGCAGGAGATCTATACTGCGGTCCAACAGTTGTTATTATATTTCATATTTCAACAGAAATAATACATAGGATGGATACAAGTAGAAAAAGTTATTGGTGTTTTGGTGCCAACCTTCTTTTATCTGTGGTTTGCACTTTCTTGCAATTATTTTGGTGGATTCTACCTGATGTTATTGTTTATTGTTAAAAATCTCAATTAGCTTTCACCAAAAATGGGACCAGCTAGTCTTCCTGGGGTCCACAAGACAGAAAAAAAACTCTTAACAATCAAAAATTGTAGAAATTGTTATAGATATGATCAGAAATGATACCAACAAACTATTACATTTCAATTCAATTCAGTTTATTTCTGTAGCGCCAATTCACAACACATGTCATCTCAAGGCATTTTACAGAGACAATAAAACCAGATCATACATTCAAATTGATTCAAAGTTTTCTGGAAAACCAGTTGATTGCATCGACTCATTGACTCGAAGGCAATTCCTCACACTAAGCAGGTTGTAGCGACAGTGGAGAGGAAAAACTCCCTTTTAACAGGAAGAAACCTCCATCAGAACCAGGCTCAGTGTGAGCGGCCATCTGCTGAGGCCGACTGGGGTTCAAGGAGACAGAAGCAGAGATATAGAAAGAAATACAGGATACATTTGTATCCATTACTGTAATTCTCACTTTCATACAGTAAATAAGTTCATTGACTGTAACTCACAAATTGAAACAATGAAGTCACAAGTAATAATTAAAAGATACTTTACTATTCAGTTCACGTATATTCATTTGGACATTATTCCAATAGCTGATGGCACGATAAATAACTGTTCTCTATAAGGCATTTGATTTTGGACATCATCTGACCACCATTAGCTGACCTGGCCGAATGAGAATGAACCTGATCATATCTGACAATTCTGTTATATAAGAACACTGGTTGAAAAGAATAGACAGTGTTTCTAAAAACAATTGTTGTATTGCAATCCAAACTGCACTATACCATTAAACCAGGAAAGTGGACATGCATACTGATAGTGTTTATTCTTATAGAACAAGGTAAACCAACCCGGCAGCTCTGTTCTAGGCAGTTTGTAATTTACCTAGTTGACATTTAGATGTGGAGGACAATTCAGGACAGGGTTTGACGTTAAGGATTTTTACGACTTGCCCTTCGGGCAAGTGGCTTTCACATTTCATTTGCCCAGAAACAATTTTTACTTGCCCAGTATAATGTTTGATATAGTTCCTAATATTCATTTTTGTATATATATCAATGAAACATGTTTGTTTTTTAAATGTTTTTTTGTAATTCAGTAAGTTTACAGGTTCCTGGTGTGTATATGCATGCGTCAGATAATGAACTCCAGCCTACATTACCGTGTTAACATGCTTTTCAATCCTTCCTGCACATTCTTTTCAAACTAAACTTTGCTTTAAACAGTTGTGTGCTTGGAAAAATATAAATGGTAATGTTAAAAATCAAAAAAAAAACTTGACAGGTTAAAAACTACTACTACTCACCAATTTAACATGTTTAGCTCTATAACATTTAAATGCACCACTCCAATGTCTAAGAGAAAATTTTTTTTTTTATGTATGACCTGCATCACTGTACAGAAGACTGCCATATGATAGAAATATTTACACTGTGCGCATACAATTATTATTATTATTATTTTCCTAATCCCGGACTGATCATTTTTAATCCAGCGTGTATTATAGTATAGATTAAATTCATCATCCAACTGCTGCTCTGCAGAATTCTCTCCCCAAGAGCTGAAATACGGCATCTAGCGGAAAATCACGCGAGCATGTGTACAAAACAACAACAAAGATGGCGCCGGCAATGCTTGAGGGTCGTTTTCAGCGAATGTCGGTGATTTTAAAGTAATTTGGAGTGATAAATATTTTATTTTTTTTGCCATCATTGCACTTGCCCGGCGGCCAAATGAAATGAAATTTGTACTCTTCCGACAGTAAAAACTACTTGCCCCGGGCGATCCTCACTATGGTATCTGTTCTGCCCAAGACAACTAATTATCAATTATTATACCTGTTCTATAGGTTCCCCAGACAAGTTCAAACTCATCTTTGGTGTGGATGGCAGTTTATCACTCAATCCCAAGATATTTTATTTTGCTTTTAGACATATTCAGTACCATCCCTTTTGGTTTTATCCATTAAAAACATATTTAACTCAAATGACAAAACATTGTTCAGGCCCAGAATATGAGAGTCAGAATGGGTCAGCACTGATGACTGGTTTGAAGGGTGGTTAAATAGAGGCTGAAGCAGGTGGATCAGGTGAGTGGTAATGAGAACTGGGCAGAGTTAGGCAGGTTGTTAAATGAGTAATCAGACCAGACATCAGTGCCAAGATCATTACAATGAAGTACATGTCACCTCTGATGCACTCCAATTATGTAAACTACATGTAAAATATTATCCTCTCTCTGTTACAGAACTATACTAATTTAACTTCCTATTCAATAGCAAAACCACTATGTTCAAAATCATTATGTTTAGGTAATAGTTGATTAAATTTGATATTTCCTAACGCAAATAAGGAGATTAGCATTAGCAGTTGCCTTTTGTACTCTGGAGGAGGACATAAATTTGCAGCTGTAAGATGATGACAGGTAGGACCCATCATTGACTGGAGGCAGGAAATGTATTAATGGCTTCACTTTTTTGATGCCTGCTCTTTAAAATCATTTGTTATTATTCTGCTAATGAGGGATTATCATCATCTTCTTCACCATTGATACAGTCATCAGCTTTTAACAGGGTCATCTTGTTAAAGAAAATACATTTTTGTTAGTTTAAAGTGTGTTTTTTGTTGTTCCTGCTTCTTCATCTCTCAATACAAAGGATTTTGCTATAATTGTCTCTAACATGATCTGTTTGTTTTTGTTTGTTTTGTGAGTTGAAGCTATGTTTGTATCAAGGGATTTGGGGATTTTCTGGCCTTATTAAGTGGATAAGAGCAAAGGAGAAAAGATAATTGGTGAAGTATGAATAAAACTGAGGCCCGTCCTTTTCATTTCTTGTAAATAAACACTTATTTTATTCCACTTCAGTAACTTCCAGCTAAAGGTTAAATTTGTCAGCAGTTAAGGACTGTGTGCTAATAAACTCTTCACCTGTTTCAAAGGACGATGTGGTCCAAGACTTGATTTAGAATGATATTTCACATTTTATCGGTTTGTAGGCTTTCTACCTATAGAACAATCTTTAAGTAAATGGGCATTCAAAGTGTGAGGGAGTTTCTGGATGGGGTTGTGAGATGTGCGATGTAGGAGGCACAGTTTGGTGCCATTAACAGGTGCACAAAGGAGGCGAGAAATTCCCCCTCCTGTGCTCCTGTGCGTGCTCACACACGTGCTCACTGGTTTGTTCGTGACTTGGGATAGAATGATCTGTTAACAGTGTGAAATCAGTAACATTTGACTTTAGCTGCTGGATAAAAAGGCTGGAAACCTCAAGTAAACAGTTTGTTTCTGCAGTTTTAAAGTTTCACAAGAATATCTTTAAGAGTTTTTTTAGTAAAAGAGCCTTTATCCTGCAAAATCCACTCAAAGCTTTAAACTGTGTCTAATGTTCTTCCTTCATCAGAATAAAACACTTAGTGATATTTATTTGATTCCTGCATCTCTGATTAATCCTTATTAGCACTGCTGTGTGAGATTCAGCCCCTCCCTGACGTGTAGAAACAAGCAGATGGAGAATATTGACAGAAGAAGGCTTCCTCCAGGAAGCGGCAAGCTTAACCGAGCTGCACCTGCACTGTTGACCAATGGCCACCTTCTCTGATCAGGGAGGGGTGATGTGAGGTAGATCTTCATGATTCAGATGAACAGACTCTACTAGCAGCTGATGTACACAAAGCAGCAGCCTCTGTTTTGTATGATACAGCAATTGGGTGAAATTGAAATGAAAATAAAGTTGTCTCTGTAAAAAGATTCAATTCAGTTTATTTATGTAGCCACAAGTCACAACTAGTGTCATACAGCCAAATTGATTCAAAGTTTTCTATCTAAGGAAAACCAGTTGATTGCATTGACCTGTAG